GAAGCCTCGCTGGGAAGCCTCGCTGAGAAGCCTCGCTGAGAAGCCTCGCTGGAAATGAGTGGAGGAGCTGAAGGACCATGGGGATAGTGAACTTCAGGAAAAGGGAACAATTGCTGAAGGAGTCTGAGCATAAGTACATAAAGCAAAGGGAGGCAGTGTGGCTGGCAGGTAGAGCGAGGCTTGAGGCATAGGACAAGGAGAGGTAAAGGGACCAAGCGATGGCCAGTGCAGACTCTGACTGTACCCAATAGTCAAAAGGTGATGGGGATGGTTCTGGTAAGCACCATTTGCACAGGCCAGGCAGAACCTGTTCACCAGTCCTGGATCCTCAATTCTTCAGAGCTAACCCCAGGGCCCAGCCTGATATCTGCTGTGTTGTGGGACATCAGAGGCAGGTGGACTGGGACCCTGGGGTACTGGGTAGGTTGGAAAAGAAGGTGCCTAGGACACCAGCTGCCCCAAGGGAAAGGTTGGGACAGGACAGGGGAACAACTAAGATGTTCTAAGTTAGATATGGGCTAACTGGGGGTATGAGCGACACTTACCACCTTGGCTGGTCTGTTTGAGACATTGTTTTTCTGACTTTTAGATGCCGTGGGACCAGAGAGGAACCTAGGGCTGGGGGACACAGAACTGCATTTCCATCAGACCTCAGTTTCCCCGGGGAGAAGCCACCAGGCAAGCCCATGCCAGTACTATCCCAAACCCAGGCAAACTGGAGGGAGGGAGAGCCTCAAACAATTGTGAAAGATCCTATAGTCCCACCTCCCTCTATCCATGCTGCCCCAGGACATTGGCTCTCAAGACCAAGCTCTTCAGAGGTCCTCCTGGGCCTTCTCAAGTCTGCCACCCACCCAGCTTTGAGTAGTACAATGCCCAGTCAGCCCTCCCCACCTTTCCTAAAACCTTTCTTCTCAGACTGTGAGGATAACTCCTGAGTTGCCCTCAGGCAGACTCTACTCAGTTCTCTCTAGATGAAGTATCAGTTTATAGCCCTAAAGGCAGGATCCCTGAATCCTGGCCCAGCCTCTGAGGAAGACTCCATGGAAGACGCCAGCAGCAGACCCACCTCTGACCTGCCTCCTTTCTGCAGTCTATCAGATTTGATCTTCCCTCCTCCCTCCACCAGGCATTTCTGCTGGCACAGCCCAATCCATTCTCCCACTCTCCACTCCACTCAGCAGCCAGGTTACGGCTGATCTGTCCATGTCACACAGCCACATAGGGATGAACCAGGACAGAGAGCCAAACTTCAACTCCTGATGAACCTTCTTTCCCAAATAACAATCCAACGGTCACTCCTATGTGGTCCTAGCTGGGCTTGCCCCAGGGAGGCTACCTTGCCCCAGCCTACCTGCAGCCCACACTGGCTCTGCTGAAGTACCCTATGCTTCACAGCCTCCGTCTGGACCCTTCTGTTAATGTCAAAGCTGCTCTTGCTTCTGTTCCTCCATCACTATGGTAGGCTCGAGCTAGTAGTGAACTGGAGCTCTGTTGTCTCTGAGTCCTCACTTAGAGCCTGCCTCTCAGCCCTCCCCCAGGGTGGCCGGATTCCAGTTGTGCTCCTCTAGGGGAGAGGTCAGTAAGGCAGGGATTTGGCTCATGCCACTTAAGCCAGGTCCATACACGCTGCCCAAAATAGCATCCCTGTTTTTGCCAAAAGCACCATGGAGACTGAGTTCTGAGGCAGCCCTTGTGAGGTCAGAGGTGGTGTTTCAGTGTGCATTCTGGGAGGAAAGGCCAAGCTGACAAGCCAAGCATCATCTGGGTTATCTAAAGCCAAAGGCAGAGATAGCCTGCAGAAGGTCACAGGGGCTCCTGAAACCCAGGCTGTAGAGAAAGCCGTGAACATAGGGGTAGGGGAGACAAGGTGCATGTAGAAGTTTCCAGAAATCAGCAGAGAAGGGTGGGAAAAGCAGCTCTGGCACAGTCATCAGCCTGAAGAAGAGTGAGGAGAATTAGACTCTGTCCTCAGCAGTCCCTATCTGATAGAGGAAAACCCAAACCTGGTTTCCTGGGGTCCCCATCCTAGGCTCTGTCTCCTGGACAGTGCCTTTCTTGGGAAAGACATATCCAAGGCTCCATGAGAAAAACCAAGCTGGCCTGGCAGCATGGTCCTGGGGCTCAGGACAGCAGTGGGATCTCAGCGATGAGGGTGAGGTCAGGAGGGGACATGAGAACAGCCTGCAGCCAAAGAGGTCTTCTGGATTCAGGGGCCTGGCTGGGCCAGAAGATCAGGCAGGCCTGAAAGTATCTGCAGGGGCTTCAGTGCTGAAGTGTGAGGGTGGGTACCTCCTATTGGAGAGGTGGGCAGTAGGCAGCAAGCCCAGGGAGACCCATAGCACCTTGATGGGAGAAATTCTAAGGTATGGCTGCCCAAAAGTCTCATAGGGGATGAAACAGTCTTCTAAAGATCGCTGAACATGATGGCACATATCTGTAGCCAACACCCATGAGGCAGAGACCAGGAATACAAGTTTAAGCACAGCCTGGACTACTTAGTAAATTCAGGCTATCAACACACTGTAATCCTAGCACTTGTAAAGCAGAGGGAATGAGGTCATCCTGGTCTATATAGTGTGGTCCAGGCCAGATAATGCTGTATACAGTAAGACTCTGTCTCAAAGGCTGAATGAAGAGCCATGTCCTTATAATCAGGAATTCAAGGTCATCCTCAACCATAAAACTCATTTGAGACTGGACAGTTAGGACTAAGACCCATTTTCTTTTATTTTTTCTTTTCAAAACAAGTATTTCTCTGTGTAGCCTTAGCTGTCCTGGAACTTCCTCTGTAGACCAGGCTGTCCTTGAACTCACAGATCTGCCTGCCTCTGTGTGGAGTGCTGGAGTGCACCACCACCCTGTAGCAGCTCTTCTCACACACCTCCACTCAGGTGAAGTCAGGGTTCCTGCCTGTGCTGCAAGGAGCAATCTCAGGGAGTCAATATGAAGCAGAGTTGGAGGTTTGTTTGTTGGTTGGTTGGTTGATTGGTTGGTTGGTTGGTTGGTTGGTTGGTTGGTTGGTTGGTTTTTATTATGCATGCCAGAAGGGGACACCAGATCTCATTATAGATGGTTGTGAGCTATCATGCGGTTGCTGGGAATTGAACTCAGGACCTTTGGAAGAGCAGGTAGTGCTCTTAACCTCTCCAGCCCTTTTTCTTTTCTTTTTTAAATGATTTTTTAATCTTATTTTATGTGCATTGGAATTTTGCCTGTATGAGGGTGTCAGATTCCCTGGATCTGGAGTTAGAGATAGTTGTGAGCTGCCATGTGGGTGCTGAGAATTAAATCCATGTCTTCTGGAAGAGCAGCCAGATCTCTCCAGGCCTGAATTGGAGTTTATTAGAAAGAGATTTCCCGGACCTGGGGGTGTAGCTCAGTTTATAGAATGTTTGTGTTGTGTGTGAGCACCACATTAAGAATGGGCACAGTGGTTCATGCCTGTAAACCCAGCACTTAGATAGTGAAGGCAGGAAGATGGAGAATTCAGATAAGCCATCTTAATTTAAATAGTAAGTTTGACATCATTCTGGGACACAGTCTTAAACAAACAAGACCTGAAGAG